TGCAAGGCCCGGGCTTATCGCCGTGGTCGCCCAAGTTGAACACCTCACCCGTAAACTTCCCGGAGCGTTCACAAGCGAAGAACAGAACTGCCATGGTAGGGGATGCGTGTGGCCTGCACGATGCCACGAGGATTCGAGCCCAGCCCACCAAAGCTTAGTTTAGAGTTAAGTTACCTCACAGCCACCTCAAAATCTCCGGCTTTATTTCGGGAGCATACCATTTTCCAGGTGAGCTCGCGGGACGCACTATAGCTTGCACAATAAACCCCATTGATAGAATGATTGCAGTGGTCTCAGACCCTTGGAGATGCGCTCCCCCGACAGAGCCTTCTCCTTGCTCTTGAAGACCTCCATGCTCATCACCTGCCACACAGTGCCTCAAATTCTCCAAAGAACACACTCCAAAGACCCGAAGCAGGCTCACAAACCGTGGGATCACAACCCAAACTCCATCATACCAGCTTGCTGGTAAGGAAGATATACCACTGAAGAAGAACCCCCAACCAGATGGCACAACCTCAGAAGCCCCCGTTCGCCTACAAGGTTTTTGCTACTTTGAGACCCCCCAGCAAAACACCCAAATAACCCTTTAAAACCATGTAAAACCCTCATAACCCCTATATTCCTACTCACCCCCACCCATGAGCCCTCATCAACACCCCAAGAAGCAGAGAGCCCGAGCCTTCCCCCCGCATGGGACGCCCCCCCCCCGAGCTGAAGAACCGCAGCTCAGCCTTACAGAGGGCCCGCTGCTGGGTGCGAGGGAGCTCGGTGAAGAAGGTCCTGTGCTTCGGGAGATCTGTCCAGGAACGGGAGCTCTTGGGTTTTTGGGGTTCTTTGGGGTTCTTTGGGGTTCTTTGGGGTTCCTGAGGGTTCTTGGGGCTCTTTGGGGTTCTTTGGGGTTCTCGGGGTTCTTGGGTCGGAGGGGGGGAGTGACCTGGCCCGGACCGGGTGGGAGCTGTTTATCTGCGCCGCCAGAGGCGCGTGGAAAAAAGGGGCGGTACCAACCCAAACCCCCGCCAAAAGGCTGAGGGCCTGGCACATCCTGGACGAAGGACAGGATGGTGTCCACGTGCCTCGGGCTCTTCTGGTGGGGAACTCGGCTGAAGCTTGGGTCCGAGAATTCACTGTGAGAATGAGAAGCAGCCGAGCCTCACATTGGAAGCCCTACCCCCAGCCATGGATGAAAAAGTCCGTCTGATCGAGTCTGACCAATAAAACCCCAAGGATGCCCCAAGCGAGCTCTGCATCCTGCATCCTGAGGCTTCCGCTCCTCCGTGCGTCGCTCCTCTGTTGCCGCAGATTGCGGGGCTGCGGATGTTTTTTGCAGGAGCCATTTGATGTTGGGCTCTTGATATGAGGTGTCCGACCGGGTTTTGAATTTTGGGCACCATCAGTCTGCAGAATGGCGCCTTCTTTGGGGGCTCCGGTCTTGAAGGGTTCACTGGGTGTGTTGCCGTAGGGGCCCAAACTCCGATGCCCGGTCCGGCGGAAGTCGGACTGCCTCCCGGATGCTGCCTCTGCGGGCGCCGGAGCTCTAAAGGAGTTAACTTCGAGGACGCTAAGGGATGCTGAGGGATGCCGCGGGATGCTAAGGCCAAGGGTTCTGAGGGCTTCAGGCTTCGGGGCGCTAGTGCACCAGCACCATTCCTGAGATTCCCTCCCCAGCCTGATAGAAAGGATCCCTGATACCTAACGGTCCCTACCGATCCATAAAGACCACGAGTGGACGAATCAACTAAGGTTTGGAGGGTTCAGGGAATAGGTACCAAAAGGCATCGTAAGTTACATGAGCCCCTAAGCCCCTAAGCCCCTAAGCCCCTAAGCCCCTAAGCCCCTAAGCCCCTAAGCCCCTAAGCCCCTAAGCCCCTAAGCCCCTAAGCCCCTTCGCCCCTAAGCCCCTTCGCCCCTAAGCCCCTTCGCCCCTAAGCCCCTTCGCCCCTAAGCCCCTAAGCCCCTAAGCCCCTAAGCCCCTAAGCCCCTAAGCCCCTAAGCCCCTAAGCCCCTAAGCCCCTAAGCCCCTAAGCCCCCTAAGCCCCTAAGCCCCTAAGCCCTAGCCCCTAAGCCCCCCTAAGCTAAGCCCTAAGCCCCTAAGCCCCTAAGCCCAAGCCCCTAAGCCCTAAGCCCTGAGCCCCCCTGAGCCCCTGAGCCCCCCCTGAGCCCCTGAGCCCTGAGCCCTGAGCCCCTGAGCCCCTGGAGCCCCTAAGCCCCTAAGACCCTAAAGCCCCTAAGCCCCTAAGCCCCTAAAGCCCCTAAGCCCCAAGCCCGAGCCCCGAAGCCCAAGCCCCGAGCCCTAAGACCCTAAGCCCCAAGCCCCGAAGCCCCAAGCCCTAAGCCCTAAGCCCCTAAGCCCCCTAAGCCCCTAAGCCCCTAAGCCCTAGCCCTAAGCCCCTACGCCCTAAGCCCCTAAGCCTAAGCCCCTAGAGCCCCTAAGCCCCTAAGCCCCTAAGCCCCTAAGCCCCTAAGCCCCTAAGCCCCTAAGCCCCTAAGCCCCTAAGCCCCTAAGCCCCTAAGCCCCCTAGGATGCCTCTTCAGGCTCCAGCACATGCTCTGCTTGGGCCCCGGCTCAGGGCGACAGCAGGGATCCGGCTGCCATGGCTTCCACTTAGACTTTGCATGACAAGCTTGAACTGCTCTTTGGGAGGGGGGGGGTCTTTTGGGCTCTAGGGGTTCTAGGGGTTGAAGGGCATCGGGTTATTTGGGTTTCGGGCGGTTAGGGTAGGGCTGCGGATGGTCGCAGCACGCCTTCGGGGCACGCTGCCCAAGCGGTGAAGCTTCTCTTCGGCTTAAAGTCGACGGGCTCGGGGGGCATCGGTGTCTTGAGTCTGCTCATACGAGCTGCGTCGGGCTTCGGCTTCATGCAGCTTCTTACCCCAGAGAGTTCACAAGAGAGCTTGCTCAACGGGCCGGACCCAACATGACAAAACCAGAACTCGGGCTCCTCAAGACATTCGCGAAGCGGCCTGCGCTTCCCAAATACCCTTCTCAGGGTCTTCGGGTCTTCTTGGGGTTGTGTGGGGAGGGGGAGGATCGGTGCTGAAGGGCCCTGGCGCAACGCCCTCCCCGGCATCTTTTGGGCGAGAAGCGCATTCACCCTTTCGGGTGAGCAGAATCTTCGGATAAACGCTGCCTTTGACAACTAGGGGGGCTCTTCAAAAATTCAATGGCCCTGGTTCAAGGCAGATCCCCCTGTCCATCGCCCCCAAGGGGCGATGTCTAGCTTGGGGGTTACGGATAGGGGCTGAGGGTTTAGTAGGAGCTGGGGGTTTTATTGTTGGGGTGAAGGGGGTGGAGTTGTGGTTTGAGAGCTGAGGTGCCCAAGGCACGCAGGCTTAGGTGGCTCCTTATGGGAGACTCGACAAAAACAGACGTTGAAGGAGAGCCGAGAGCGCTCGGAGAACCCTAGAAACCCCCTTTCCAGAGTAGGCACGTAAAGAAGTACTCTTCATTCAAGAGGAAAGGAGCTGAGAAAGGAGCAGAGAAAGGGGGAAGAGAGAGACGAGAGGCAGACAGGAGTGAGGAGTCCGGCGAGGAGTGAGTCGCTGTGGACCTTGCCTCTGACCCTGAACAGCCGAAAGCACCCCCGGCGCTCCTTCTGAGCGTCTGCCATCTCAACTGCTATCCTCGTGCACTTCCTGCCTTCACTTCCTTCGCTACGCTCTCAGATGCCACATTGGCTCACTGCCAGGTGTTGTACACTTGAGGCGGCGTGGCCCAGGACTGGCAGGGCATCAAGGGGCATCAAAGGGGCATCAAGGGGCATCAAGGGTGTCCAGTGTCATGGCATCTTCAAGATATTGCATTCCATAGGGGGTCCGAGAGGCTGAGAGGCTTGAGGATTCCTTGCAAAACCCCCGGGGGTCTTGAAAGGGGCCATCCGGGGGCCAGGCTCTTCTTACACTGCCTGGTGGGCTGCTTTGCTTGGGGGAAGATACGCTGGTCATACCCCAGGCCCGAACGACGACCGCACCCGTACAACATGCTTTCAAGGCGCCCATGTTGACCCAATGAAGAGCAAGACTAATATTAATAAGTAGTTACTTGCAAGTCATGGCGATTCTCATGGCGATTCTCCCTGTGCCATTGTGCCCATATAGTCTCTGACCCGATGATGATCTCTCAAGAATCTCTACACAGCCAGTTCTTTGCGGACGTGGCACAGCAAGATGCAGTACCGGCGATGTAAGTCAAAGGAATCGTGCATTAAAGCGCGCGAAGCATGCATTCTGCCAACCGAACTTAGATTTCGCTACACTTCGGCGAGCTCGGGAGGTTCGGACCACAGAAGAGACGTTTGCAAAGAGAACTACAAGCCTCAATAGGAGAAGCCATCTTGTGCCATGATGCGGGGGGGGCGGGGTGGTGTCATTGTGTCAGGAAAGTCGAGAGAAGCCGAACTAGGCACGACAACTGTCCGCACGGGCCGTTGTATTTCCACTTAGGGTGCCGCAACAAAACTTTACGAGCTGGAGAACTGGCCACCTCTGCTGGTATCTATAAGACAGCGCCGCGCAGACCGGGGCATTGTTGACGAAGTCGTCGATGGGAGGCAGTTGGGTCTCAGCGTCGGTTTGCTTCTGGTTGCTTTTGGCGGCGTGGGCTCTAAGGTTCGGCATCTAAGAGCTTGAATGCTGTCGGGACAACTCATGGGGGGGGCCGTATGGTAAGTAGGAAACACTGAGGAATCGTTCGGGAGGCGGGGTCGTGCTTCAGTGGGACGTGGCCCGAAAACAGGCGGTTAGGGAACCGGATTTACAAGTGGGGAGATATTTGGGTGGGCGGCGTTGTGAACTGGGAAGTGGCCGTGGCTAGCAAGTAACGTCCCAGACCAGAATTCCAACGACGCTGAGCAGCCCAGGGGGAGAAGTCGACGATGGTAGGGTCGGCCAAGTCCTTGTCAGCAGCACACAACGGTCTCTTTCGGCTGAGGCTGCGTAACATTGTGCAACTCGAAGCCACGTTCGGTCCCCAGAGCTTCGCCCAAGCCCCTGCAAGGCCGATCAACCTTGTACAACCAATACAACCATCAACAACTCCTTACACGCGGCCTTGCACAATCCGCCGCAGGCTTCACCGACACCGGCAGCGTACTCGCCGGTCACCACGTCCTGGGAGATTCTTTTTTGGGGGGATTTTGTCAGGACACGTCACAGATACCCTGAGCTTGGAGCGATTGGAGGGGTGAGCCTTTGGGGATCCAAGAAGGGAGAGGATGTTCGAGCGCTCTCTGAGCCGCTCTGAGTTTGGGAACCGCGGCTCCTGTGCCACCAGCCCGGTGATGGCGATCATGGCCAGGCGGCCGTTGTTGAGCTCCTGTGCAGGAGCATCAGGCGCATTCTTCTCTTGAGGCATTTTCAAAGTGGTTCTTCGGAGACACGCTTCTGTCTGCTGCCTGTGTCTGCCGTAGCTTTGAGAGGCAAGACTGGAAACCCACCCAGGATGTGTCCCCTCTTTAGCTCGGAAGTCCCCCAAAGGCTCACCTGAAAACGGCAGGGGGGGTGGGGGGGGGGGGGGGGTGGGCAAAGGGGGTGCCCACTTCCCCGAACCGGCCTTCGGGCTTCGGGTTCTTGGCAAGAATAGCAGGAAGTTTCAGTGCTTTCGGCCGCGACAGACGAAACCCAAACTTCCCACTGCTGGCGAGTCTTGGGAAGAGTTCAGCCGGAAGGCCGGGGGGGGGCCGCCAAGCCTCACCACCATGCGCTCCCGACGTTTTAACCCCCAAACCTCTGAGGGCTGTCTAAAGGAGCAGAGGCGCCTGGACCTTCACTGAGTCCCAGCGGTTCCAGATCTTGGAGGGGTAGTCCTCGATGATGATGCCCTCGTGCAGTGGAGGATTTCGTGGTATCTTAAACTGGGTTTCTACTCCTTGGAGCTGTGTGGATCGGCGGAGCTCAGATGTTCAAAAGCTCAGACAGAGCCCCAACCAAGTCCTGAAAAGTAAATGAATACCACTCCTCTCAAAATAAGAAGACACTCCCCCAACTCCAAGCCCTCTGAAAAAAAATCAACGGGTCGAGGGGCCCCCTTCCAAACCCTACCTACCCCCGATTCCCCGCCCGGAAAACGCTGCCGGCCTTCCATCCAAGCACGTCCCAGGGACGATCCTGGAAAAGTCTCCCAAGACAAAAACAGTTCACATCCATGACGATGAAGACCCAACAGGGGGCATGCCACAAAGCTACGCGGCCTGGCGAGTTCTCCTCTGAATCCGAGTTTGCCTTCTTAGCGCATTTGGGCGTCTTCGAAACACAGGGACCGGGAGAAACTGGCACAAAAAACCGGCAAGAAGAGCGCAGTCACGCATGATTCCGCATGATCGGCCAACGACTCACCAGAACCCCCGAAATCGTGATGAGCTCGAAGAGATGAGCTCGTAGACTGCGTGTACACGGGCGTACACCCCAACTGCAACACTGAAATTCAAACCCTCAGACCAGTAGAAAGTCATAGAAAGCCCAACTCAATCACAGCTCCTCAGGGGGCTTGCAGATGTAGGTGGTCAGCCACTCCAGGCACATGATGGTGAACACAACCTTCTCATCGGGGGGGGACAAGAGTCTGACACTCCGTCGGGAACTGCGAGGAAACTTCGAGAGATGCTCAAACTGAAGACATCGTTTTGAGGGTGGATGAAGGCGGCATTGTCGCGATCAAACACACACACACACACACACACACACACAACTGACTCCCGTCGCCTGCCACATGCCGGCCATGGGCAGCTGTGTGATCTGGCCGAGCACCGGGAAAGCGGATGAAATCAGATAGCAGGAGAGTAGAGAGTGTGTCTGTGTGTGTAGTGCCCTCCCCCCTAAGAATAGACAGCCCACGCGATGGGTATGTTTGGCAGCTTTTGAGGTGTGGGGGACACATGGTAGGATGAGATGGGATGTGTGTCTTACTGTTTTCTCTTCTTTTTGTTTTGGGGGGGAGCACCCGACTCGACTTCTACACGGGCTCAACAACCTGACAGAACACCGGGGCCTTCAAGTCAACTCCTACAAGGTCACATTGTGAAATCCGATTCAATCCTAAGCCCTACGCTTGGGGGAAGAGGCTGAAGCAAAAAGTTTGGGGTGAAGGGGTTTTACAAAGGGTCTGGGACAGCCAAGAAAACTTGCCGAGCCCACGTTCACCAGCGGGTTGTTGGACATCTTCGCACCGGACTGAAGGGCAAAGGGGAGTCATGATTCGACGGGTCGCGCTTTGAGGTGGGGCTCAGGGGCGGGAGTATGAGGTGCGTTCACCCCGTCGCCAACCTCACCATTCCATAACCCCAACCACCAACCTAACCCCGATAAGCTCCTGTATAAACTCCTGTAAACTGGGAGGGATGCCGGTACTCCGGTGGCGCCACTAGCTGTCGAGTTGAATATCGAAGCTCTCATGACCGGCCGGCCGTTCTAGCGGGCCTTTCCGGCAGACGCTCTGCTTTCCTTGCGGGGGCCTCTTGGGTCCTCTAAAGGCTCTCAAGGTCTCTCAAGGAATTTTGGCCGCTTCAAAAAAGTATGTCCCGTTTCGGTGCCTTTCCAGAGCTTTGAAAATCACTGAACTTTTCAACATTCTCAAAGTCAGAGATAGCCGATGATCTGCTGCCCCGCGGCCGCATAGTCACCCAGAAGGTGGTAGCCAGCAGCCACGTGGAACCTCGGTTTGGACATTGGAGCTCTTCAGGCCAGGGTTCGTTCCCACGACAGAAGGCAAGCGCAACCGTAAATGACACCGCCACGTCTGCCAGGACGTGGCAGTTCCCCTTCTCAACCCCTTGGGCGGCCACCAATGCAGAACTGCCAACATTGCCACACGGCCTGGGAGTCGGTTTCCAGGAAGCCGGAAAAAGAAAGGCCCCTCTTAAGTGTCAATGGGGAAGGGGGGGTCTTGGGCTTGAGAATTTTGCAGGCTGAGGTCATTATCTAGGGATAACGAAGTTGTAATGCATTTAATTTAGCTCAGCCCTCATGTAGGAGGGTTCCTCTTTTCGGAGTACCCTCAATCTCAGGTTGTGCATTGTAACAGTTACGCAAGAAAAAAGGACCATGATGTAGAGCCTTTGTGAGGTATGCAGGTTAAACAATGGTGGGGAACGGACGTGTTTCTTGCAGGAGTGCGCATGTGACATGAGAAAGCTTTCATACGTGGCGCGGACAATTTCCCAAAGGCCACAGAGTAGTCTCTGGTGGCCCCGACAATCCCAGACAGATTCGTGGCGTTGGCTCAGAGGGCTCTTGCAGCGGCCGGCGAGAAATCCGTTGTTGACCTACTCTAAACATCCTTAAGTCCCTGAATCCCAAACCCCCAATGCACAAGGTCCTGCAAGACGATAGCCGCTTGCGAATCAGTGGACGGAGCTCACGCTAGGAAATCCAACCCCGAGGGCCCCCGGCCGTGCTTCAGCTCGATGGCGCGGTAATTCAGAATCTCCTTCGAGCATTCTACGAATTGGTGCCAGGCTTCTGGAGTAGGGTGAATGGTCGGTTCTGACTCCACGGTATGCTCTATATAATTTTCATTCTCTACACTCTACATATTCTTGCTTTAGAACGTGTAGAAGTCCTTAGAATGCCACATTAAAGCTACCCCGTGCGCCACAGCCTGCTCGGTGGCCTTCGAGGAGATGCCTGCCTTGGTTGGTACTCTTGGTGCTACTGAAGTACTGAAGCATAGCAGAGTGTAGCAGGGGGCCTCCTTAAGCCTGAGGGCCTCTGAGGGCCTCTTCGCTCGACTGTGGGCTCCTGTGGGTTCAACTCCACGCTACCGTTCCACAACGAAGCGCAGCACAACTTAACAGGATGAAAGTGACGTGGAGAAGTCTCTCTCTCCCTCTCTCGTTTTTCCAGGTGTAAGTCCCGCGCAGGATCCCAGAACATGTCGGGCAAGGGGCCGCCGGTGCCGGCAATGAGCTCCTGGGCTGAGGTGCCGGGCTATGACTGGCAAGTACAGTGGCTTAGAGATATTGCTCCAGACATTCCAAACGCTCCCTCCCCAACTCATTTGGAGTTTGGGGTTGAGGGTTCTTCGGGAATCTGGCAGTGCCATGCAGAACGGTTTGCTCTGCCACTCCTGGGCGGGGGTGAGAGCGCGCAGGGGCGAGTCGGTGTACAAAGACCTGGACAGATGATGGCTTCTGGGGAGCTTCTTCCTAGGTCATAGAGGGAAAAACTCCACACAAAACAATGAACGTCTGAGGCTTGCAAAGCACCTATCCAAAGCCAGATTATGCTCCGGCCAGTTGTTGTAGCTGTACTGTCATGGGCGTCCAGAAGTGCTGTCCTCTCTGCAGAAGCCATACAAAAGCAATGCCCGACACCCGAAAGCCTATACTTGCCCAAGCCTCATGAAACTGGGAGCTGTCTGAAACCCTGAGCCCTGAAGAATTGAAACAGGGTTTACTGCGGAGTTGCACCAAAAAAGCAGTAACGCTCATAATGGATAGTAACCGTAAGAACCTTAGAAAGAAGCTCAGCAATGATACATCTCGATGCTGCGCCAACGAACCCCGAGCTGCCTCACACTGTGGCCGTGGAGCTGTTCACAAGTGACCGCTCTGCCCTCGAATCCGCCCACCCCAAAAAAAAAACTCTTCATGGACGTTTTGTGAGTCGGAGACGAAGCATAAGCGTCGTCGTCGTCATCGTCGCCGCCGTCGTCGTCTGCTTGCCCATATATTCTTGCTGTCGTGATTCTTACGATGACGATGATGCTTATCACTGATGTTCTGGATCTGCGGCTTGGAATCCTGGCACCATTTCAGGGCTCCGTGGCCTAAGCCCCGGACCAGTCTCCCCAGGCAGCTCCCGTGAGGCCGTTTTGGAAGAACATGCCAATGATGGCCTGGAAGGCATGGTTCTGGGTTGAGAAAGCGAGAAATTGAGGGGGTTGAGGGGTTGAGGGGGTTGAGGGGGTTGAGGGTTCCCACTTGGGGTTGGACAAAAAAAAACATGGTCGCTCGATGAGGTCTCCGTAGTTCAAGGAGCCAACATTTCGATCAACCCCCATAAGTGGTTGAGGGCTGCTGGTGTGTGGCATTGCTAGGATTGTAGGGTTTGATGGCCAGGTATGGGGTTTAAGGCAGACCCAAGTGAAACTCTAGTGAACCTTACAGGCCCTACTGCGGAACACAGGAAACCATCAAGTTCTCCTAGAAAACCGATAGGGGCATTAAGCATTAGAACAGGGTTTGGGGGGGGTTCTTATAGTGCAATTATGGAGGGACATAGAGGGACCACAGGGGAATAGTGTTCGTAATGCTTCGAACCCCTTTGCTCGCAGCCGCCAGGATCCCTTCCTGTGCTACAGAGCCCTTCGCGTCAGGCCGGGGCCATCATCGCGAGGCGGCCGTTGGCGATCTCGGCGGCAAGCTTCTTCTCCTTCTGATCCTGCGAGGGTTTTGGGGACAGGCTCCCAAAACCCCCAGGCTTTCTCAAAACTTTCGACCCTCAGCCCGGCACCTTCTGGGGTTTGGGGTTGGACCTCTTGGGACTTGAGCTCCAAAGGCGCTCTCCGCAGAGGGCCCCCGACGTCCGCTCTGTGAGGTTGCTCAACTAACTACTTTGCTTCCGGCTGCAAACTGATCAGGTCCCGTCCAGGAGAGAAAGAATTCTCCGAATGCACTTGCTGCTTCAGCGGGCGGCCCAAGAGCCGAGGAAACTTCTTGCTGCATGCTCTGCTGTCTTGTCAGGTTTCAACATGCAGCCGTTTCGTCTTGCCTTTGAAGGGTTGATGCGCTTGCTCAACTGATGGCGGATCTTCTCCATGTTGGTTCCGCGGTTCTCCGCTGCAGTTGCGTCAAGGGCTCTTTTAAGCTTTGGACTTGAGGCAATCGAGTTCAAGCCCAATTTGGGGCTGTGAACTTTGCCTATGCTCAGACCCAACACAGGCCCGACACAGGCCCAAGGCCTCCGGAGCCTTCACGAAGCCGTTGGGGATGCCGAGGAGCCCGGCCTTGAAGTGAAGGCAAGAGACCATGTGGGGCCCTGCGCTGGTGGGGCGCCGGAAGTCTTTCAGGCCCTTTCTTGGTGGCTTGAGGAGACCTCCTCTTGGGCCCCCCGGCGTTCTCGAAGTCGCCTGGGGCGCGCTTGGGATCCTGCCAGCGCAGGGTTTTCAGGGTTTAGGGTTCAGGGTTTAGGGCTAGGGTTTCGCCTCG